TAAAATAAATTATCAAAAATATAAATCTTTGTTTTACTATGGTTGCAAATATCAAAAAATTTCTATATGTGACACGGCACCAGAGTTAATTAGGGTTTTTCAAAATGCTGACACACCGAGCTCAAAAGGTTCGCCATCACTACACTATGCCAAGTAAATGTCAGCATAGAAAAACATTAAAACCCATAGAGAATTTTTGTGACTACTTGAGCCACACTGACAATTGCTGGGAAGCAAAATCTCAGGGAATAGAGATAATCGAGACAGTAATTTTACGCTTTTAGTTATTTAGGAGTTTAGGATCTTGTAACTCCTTGCTGTGATTACCAATAAATAGTTCTTGTGTGTTCTTCATTCAACAAATTTTACAGTGATTGGATTCTTTATAATGTCACTGTTTTAGTTTGGGACACCCACAAGCAGACTGGAGATAGGGGTTTGGTTCTCAGTAGTTTATTTGGGACGTAGTCTAAGAAATCTCTGGAGAGGGAAACAGAGGTGATAGAAAGTGTGTAAGAGTGAGGGCATTTGGGCTTGGTCTTGCTGGGAAGCCTCTGAGAAACTGGAACCTGCCTCAGAATTGTCCCACTAAGGGGCAAGGAAGCCAGGGCTTTTATCCGTTATTGGTTGAGGGTCGTTCCTGGGCTGTAAACTCCCTGGCACTTGGGGCCTGCCTACCCTTGTGACCAGAAATACCCTTGGGCAGAGAGCCCAAGTTGTAGGTAGTAGGGATGGAAACTTTCCAGATGATTTCCATGGTGGACAGAGGGGACAAAAAGTTGTTTTTTTCCTAAACATTGTTACAGTGGTGGACTGTGGTACAAGTGGTAAAACCGGAAGGTGTTTAATATGTGCTGTTTCTCCTTAGGATTTTCTGTTGCAGCAGACCATGCTGCGAATTAAGGATCCTAAGAAGTCTTTGGATTTTTATACTAGAGTTCTTGGAATGACGTAAGTAAACTCTATATTGGCGCCTGTAATGTTTAAATACACAGCTTTGCAAATATAGGCAATGCTTTCAAATCTATTTTTAAAAATGGGTTAAAGTTTGCTTCATAAATCACAAAAGTCCTTCTGGCCCGCGGTCTGGGACTGCTGTCAGGGCCTCTGTCAAGTTCCTCTGTCCCAGCCAGGCTCAGTGGGCTGCGAGACACCAATCCTTGTATTTTCTCTAATTCCCTTCTCTTCGAGAGCTGTCAGTTAAATCCTTCGTATGCCCAGACCCTTTTGATGTTAGAGCCACTTTTAGCCTCTTGTATACTTCAGAAAAGGTATACATATAAAGACATACTACTTAGAAAATGAATGAGTTTACTCGGGAAACAGGCTTCAGAAGCAAATGAAGGGCCCTTGGAGCTTAGGAGAGAGAAAAGCAAAGGTAACTCCTGGAGAGAAGAAGAAAAGAAGAAGAGGGGGACAGGAAAGGCGTGGGCGGGCTCCCGGAGCTTATTTTTCTTGATTTGAGGTTTTCTGTTTGTTTTTGATAATAAAGATAAAGAGTAAAATGATCTTTAATTTACTGCCTGGGTTATAACCTCCATGACATTGAGAGAAAAATTTGGTTCATACAGTATATGTCTCTGTTTTAAAAATCCAACCAATTCAGAAAAATACGAAATGAAAAGTAATAGCCTCCCTCTCCCAGTTCTTCTCCCCAGAGATAACTGCTGTAAACAATTTCTTGTAATTTTTTTCAGAAAAAGTATTTTGCATATATTCGTGGCATATTTAAAGGACAGAATGAAACCAAACTAATTGCACACTTGCTGTTTGCAGGCATTTTACACAGTATTTCATTCCATCTTCAGAGTAGGCCTATAAGGTAGCATATGTCTCCATTTTAACATATGAAGGAAGAAACCAGAGGTTAAACATTAAGTAACTAGCCCTGAATTTGAAGCCAGGTTCCTATGAACTCCAACGCTGACCTTGTTTTTAAGAACCCCCAAGTGGGGGGTGTGACCTTGTCCTGAAAGATATGCACAGCTGAGAAAAGCAAGTTTCAGTAGGGTCAGGTGCTGCATCTCCACCTGATGGGTCTACAAGGCTGTGCAGTCTGCTTAGTGTTTCATGACTGTAGTATTTGAGGTGTTGGATTCTTTATTATAAACAGATAGAGTAAATCTTATTTGTGGTAAGTCAGTGCATAGATTTTATTGGCCAGGGCATGTTACATAGCAGTGATAATCAAAAGATTTCAACAGAACTCTAGAAACTTTTCATTTGTTATGCTTCAGTCATTCCCTCTTATTATGAACTAGAGGCCTAGTGCATGCAATTCGTGCATGGGGGTGGGGAGGGTCCCTCAGCCTGGCCTGCACCCTCTCGCAATCCAGGACCCCTCGGGGGATGTCCGACTGCTGGTTTAGGCCCGATCCCACCGATCCCACAGGGATCGGGCCTAAACTGGCAGTCAGACATCCCTCTCGCAATCCGGGACTGCTGGCTCCTAACCACTCATCTGCCTGCCTGCCTGCCTGATCACCCCTAACCGCCTCTGCCTTGGCCCCCGCTGCTACGGCTTCGTCTGGAAGGACATCCAGAATGACGTCCAGAAGGTCGTTTGGCTGTCCAGTCTAATTAGCATATTATGCTTGTATTATTATAGATGAGGTCATGTTGGAGCATTTAATCCTAATCTAAAGAAAATTATATGAATCCTCATACTACCCTAGTCCTTGCAAAATAATTTTATACTCTGAATTCACTTTATAGGCCATAACTTCACTGATCTTTTTTAAAACCTCAGGATTAATAATTTGTCTACTCCTTCTCTCACATCAGTCTCTCCTTTTCCACTGGCTCTTTTTCCTCAACCTACAAAAAAGCTTAAGTCGTCTCTATTCTAGGATAATTCTTGCCCTCTGCTCTCTGGCCCTCCTTCCCATCGTCACCCACCATCTATGAAGGTGGATCACGCTGCTATTTGACTTGCTCCCCTCCCATCCTCTTCCAGTGCAGGCAGTCCAGCTTCTGCTGCCCCAAGCTGCGGAGACTGCCTCACAGGACCTTTCCATGTCTGGTGACCTGTTCCCAGTCTCAGTCCTGTTCGACCTTTCTGCAGTATTTGATGCTGTTAACCACTTAATTGTTGACAGTCACATCTTCTGTGTCCTTCCTTCTTTCTTACCACAGATCCTCAATCTTTTCCCTAGTAGTTTTGGCTTAGTAAGAACTCAGTACATTTATTTATTTATTTATTTAAAAAGTATTTTTAATTTAAGTTTTATTTTTCAATTATAGTTTACATTTATTTTATTTTTTTTTATTTCAGAGAGGAAAAAAGAGGGAGAGAGAGATAGAATCATCAATGACGAGAATCATTGATCAGCTGCCTCCTGCATGCCTCCTACTGGGGATCAAGCCCACAACCCAGGCATGTGCCCCGACCAGGAAACGAACTTTGACCCCCTGGTTCATAGGTCAGTGCTCAACCACTGAGCCACATGGGCTGGGCTATTTTGATTTAGTTTCAGATGTCCAGGTTAGTGATTAGATAATCATACTTTCAATGCACTTATTTTCTTTAACTGAATGTCATATACCTGAAAGGACAGTAAAGTAACACATTACATTTTTCAGTAAAAATAACATTTTATTTTGAAGGTATCTTTTGCCATTTATAAACAAGTACCATAATTCTGGCTAAGTTTCATTATATTTGAAGAATTGATGATATTTGAGGAAGTGATGAATTATAAAAGTTTGCTTTTTAAATTTTTATTTCACTGATATTTACAGATGAATGGATGTTGTTTTTTAAATCCTCACCCGAGGATACGTTAAAAAAAAATTATTATTGATCTGAGAGAGAGAGAGAGAGAGAAACATCAATGTGAGAGAGAAACATTAATTGGCTACCTCCACCAACCAAGAATCGAACCTGAAACTTGAGTATGCGCCCTGACAGAGAATTGAACCTGCAATCCTTCGGTGCACAGGACATGCTCCAACCAACTGAGCCACAGAGCTGAATAGATTTTTTTAAATGAGGTATTTTTCATTGGCTTACCTTGTTTTTCCTATGAAAATGGCCTTATTACAGAGTTATTCTTAGTAGAACTTGAATGTTGTTATGTTGATTTTAGTATGAATCAACCTTTCCTGTTGTTAATTGATTCAGGATTGTTGTTTAATTTCAGGCTACTCCAAAAATTAGATTTTCCCACCATGAAATTTTCACTCTATTTCTTGGCTTATGAGGATAAAAATGACATCCCAAAAGATAAAGATGAAAAGGTAGCGTGGGTGTTCTCCAGAAAAGCTACACTTGAACTGACACAGTGAGTATGAGTTTTTATCTTTTTATATATTCTATATTTTTTAAAGGCTTGTTTTTGTACACTGTTTTCCCTTACCAGCCTAATTCAAACCTGGTCTACCTCACCACTTTGCATTTGTAACAGGATGTTTGAGTACTTTTTCATGGATCTTTTGGTCTTTGTATTGGTCTTGTGGCATAGGTAGGACAAGTAAGATCATTTGCTTTTTAGGTAGAGAATCTAAGACTGAAATGGCAAGATATTTGCCAAACTATAGCTAACAAATGTTTAAGTACTACAACTAAGTCTTCATAAAATGTTGAAATAGGTATTCCTCTTTTTATTCTTTATGTTGTTTCTGTGCACTGTTTTGTTGTTGTTGTTAATCCTTACCAAGGATATTTTTTCATTGATTTTTAGAGAGAGTGGAAGGGGGAGGGAGAGACACAAAGAGAGTACAGAGAGAGAAAAAGAGAGAGCGAAACATCGATGTGAAAGAGACACATGGATTGGTTACCTCCTGAACACTCCCCAACTGACCGACTGGGGCTGGGATTGAACCTGCAACCCAGGTACATACCCTTGACCAGGAATCGAACCTGCAACCCTTTGGTCCTTGGACCGACACTCTAACCATAGAGCCACCCTAGCCAGGGCTCTGTGCACTCTTTAATAACCAATAAACAGCATTTGTTTCAGGATATGTGATTTAGTGTGTCCCCTGGTTCAAAACAGCTCTGGAATCAGACAGACCTAGACATGAGTCTTGACTCTGACAGTAGCTCTGTGACTCTGAACAAGTTATATCACCTCCATAAGTGACATTTTCATTATAAAATGCAGATACTCTAATATAGCTCATGGAGCTGCTATGAGGATTTTACTGAGCTCAGTAAGTGATAGTTGCTTTTGTTATTGCTATCCAGATGCCTGGTTTAGTCTCCTTAGTCTAGTTAAAATCATACTTTGTCCATTTGCCCTTTCTGTAGTTGAAAACTTAATATTTATAACAGCAGAGATTAGACCAAGTATATCAAATAATATATATGGTAAGATTTCAAAGACAGATTGTTGCAACTTTTTTTCCAGAATATCTGTTCTACAGGTCCCTTGTAATTGTGTTTTCCCTCCTTTCATAGCAACTGGGGCACTGAGGAGGATGAGACCCAGAGTTACCACAGCGGCAACTCAGACCCTCGAGGGTTTGGTATGTTTCCCTACTTGTATATAATATATACTAGAGGCCTGGTGCATGAAATTCATGCATGGGAGGGGGCCCTCAGCCTGGCCTGCACCCTCTCACAATCTGGGACCCCTCAGGGGATGTCCGACTGACTGCCCTTTTAGGACCGATCCCGTGGGCAGTCGGACATCCCTCTCGCAATTCAGGATCGCTGGCTGCTAACTGCTTGCTTGCCTGCCTGCCTGATGCCCCTAACTGCTGGCCTGCCTGCCTGATTGCCCCTAACCACTCTGCCTGCCTGCCTGATCACCCTCAACTGCTTGCTGCCTACCTGATCACCCCTAACCACTCTTCCTGCCTGCCTGATCACCCCCAACTGCTCACCTGCCTGCCTGATCACCCCTAACTGCTCGCCTGCCTGCCTGATTACTAACTGTCTCTGCCTCAGCCCCCACCCTGGCAGCTTCGTCTGGAATGAGGTCCGGAAGGTCATTTGGCTGTCCAGTCTAATTAGCATATTATACTTTTATTATAGATGGATTTGTATGCTGTTTGCATTGCATTCCTTTTTATGATTCTAACAGATCTAAAGCATTAAGTATAAGTAATTTATTAGGAGTAGGGTTATTGTTATTTTTGTTTTCACAAATTATTTTATTTAGGAGTTGTTTAATCTCATAATCTCATTCTAAACATTACATTTACTCTCAGTGATTTTACTTTTCAGTCTCTGTGTTATATTTCCAGTAGACTTTTTAAAAAAATATATTTTATTGATTTTTTACAGAGAGGAAGGGAGAGGGATAGAGAGTTAGAAACATCGATGAGAGAGAAACATCCATCAGCTGCCTCCTGCACACTCCCTACTGGGGATGTGCCCGCAACCAAGGTACATGCCCTTGGCCGGAATCGAACCTGGGACCCTTCAGTCCACAGGCCAACGCTCTATCCACTGAGCCAAACTGGTTAGGGTTCCAGTAGACTTTTTAATGTAAAAGCCAAAAGCTGTGATGAATAATAATCTTGATTTTTGCTAGCATATACTTCTGCCTTGAACTAAATCCTTTCAGTCAAGATAATGGGATTGCAGGCTTAAATTGGCTGTTATATAGTCACTGTCAACCACAAACCTATTAAGTATGCATAAATGATTATTCTTTTGTGTAGGTTATTCTTAATAGATTGAATAACCTATTCTTAATAGTTTATTCTTGCCCTGGCCGGTTTGGCTCAGTGGATGGAGCGTCGGCCTGTGGACTGAAGGGTCCCGGGTTCGGTTCCGGTCAGGGGCATGTACCTTGGTTTCGGGCACATCCCCAGTGGGGGGCGTGCAGGAGGCAGCTGATTGATGTTTCTCTCTCATTGATGTTTCTAACTCTCTATCCCTCTCCCTTCCTCTCTGTAAAAAATCAATAAAATATATTTTTTAAAAAATAGTTTATTCTTAACATATGAGTCAATTTTGGCCTTATTTTCAATAATTTATAATTCAGAGCAACTAATTAATTTATTATACCCAGCCAGTTAGACTTAGATTCTTATTCTTTAATACAGGGCTGGGCAAAAGTAGGTTTACAGTTATGAGTACATGAAAGTTTATTTTTATATTTTTATTTACTAATTATTGTATTATTTTCCATATCAACAACTATAATTCTACTTTTGCTTCACCCTCTATATTATAGTTTTCTAACCTACTTGATTCAGTCTGTCTTTGGATGCCTTTTGTTTTGAAATGTACTAGTTTTGGAAGCTACTTGTACAATGGCCACCCTATTGTAATGATTTCTTCCTTCTCTTTGCCTTGTTTTGGGGGTGGTCACCTAAGGTCACATCGGAATTGCAGTTCCTGATGTACACGGTGCTTGCAAAAGATTTGAAGAACTGGGAGTCAAATTTGTGAAGAAGCCTGACGATGGTGAGTTAGAGAACATTCACTGAGCACCCACGGGAAGGGCACAGTTGTAGTAAAACCCTTTTGGTTGCAAGTAACTTTGAAGAAGTCTACTTCAGCCGGCTTAATGAAAGAAGGGAGTTATTGGAAGAATACCTGCTTATTTAGGACCTGAAAGACAGCTACTACGGTGCTTCACAAAGGACTAGACACAGGATATGGGAGCCATCAAAGACCTAGGCTCCTCACCTACCCTCGGACCCCACCTTATTCTCTATCTCAGGTGTTATCTAGCCACCCCAAAATAAGTTCCTTAAAGTCTACTTTATCTGATATTAATATAACTATACCAAATCTCTTCAGTTAATAATGGCCTGGTATTTCTTTTTCACCTTCTACAACCTTTGCATGTCCTTAAGTTTTATATATGTTTCTTAAAATAGTATATGTCAAGATTTTGTTAGATTTACATGTAGTATAATTTATTTTACTTAGATTTGTTTCTGCCATCATAATTTATTATTTCAATTTTCATTTGAAACTCTTCACTGTTTTCACCGTTTCATTTTAATTCTTTCTTTTTATTTCAATTAAAAGATTTGATATCCAGATATCTTCCCCAACAGGAAGAGAACTTGTTCCCTTTTACTCCCATCATGTTACTGTTGTCCAGACTTGGATATGATTCATTTTTTAAAGATAATAAGTACGATTTCAAAGTATTTGATCACCTTTTCTCCATACGTCTCTTACAGCATTTTTGAGATTTTTCTGTCCCTTTATTAAGTACCTCAACCCAAACTGTTTTCAAAAGGTTTGTGAGATAAACTTTTGAAGCTTTGTATGCCTGAGAACCATGCCTTTAGACACAAATGGCAGTTTTGTTGAATATAAAATTTTAGAATTATTTTTCTTCAATCTTGGACATAGAACTCCATTGTCTCAGTTTTCCAATGTTGCTGTTGAAAATCTGCTGTCTGATTTGTATTCTTTTGATTTTTTTAAATTTATTGATTTTTAGAGAGAGAGGAAGGGGGAGAGAGAAACATCGATTTGTTGTTTCACTTATTTATGCATTCATTAGTTGCTTCTTGTATGTGCCCTGACCCGGGATTGAACCCACAACCTTGGCGTATCAGGACGACACTCTAACCAACTGAGCTACCAGCGACGGCTGATTTGTGTTCTTTTGTATATTATCTTCTGTTTTGTTCTGGAAGCTTTTTTTTTTAATATATTTTATTGATTTTTTACAGAGAGGAAGGGAGAGAGATAGAGAGCTAGAAACATTGATGAGAGAGAAACATCGATCAGCTGCCTCCTGCACATCTCCCACTGGGGATGTGCCTGCAACCCAGGTACATGCCCTTGACCGGAATCGAACCCGGGACCCCTCAAGTCCGCAGGCCGATGCTCTATCCACTGAGCCAAACCGGTTTCGGCACTGGAAGCTTTTAAAATTTGTTATTTCTTTTTCCTTGCCTTCTTTCTAGGAGATTTCCTCAAACTGGCATACCAGTTGAGAAAAAATTGAATTTTTTTCTCAAATGTATCTGTTCTGATAGTCATCTTTTGTGTTCTCATCTATTGTTATTTCAGCTATTATAATTCTGATTCCTAAGTTTTGCTTGATTGCTTTAACTTTTCTTTCTTTTTTAAATATATTTTTATTGATTCAGAGAGAGGAAGGGAGAGGGAGTGAGAGGCAGAGACATCAGTGATGAGAGAGAATTATTGATTGGCAGCTTTCTCATTCCCCACACTGGGGATCGAGCCCACAACCCAGGCATATGCCCTGACTGGGATGGAACCATGACCTCCTGGTTCAACCACTGAGCTGGGCCCTTTAACTTTTCTTGTTCTTGATTCATATTGGTTATATTTCATATTCCTCATCACTTTTACATGTTTAATTGTTCTTGGTCCATTGGTCTAATATTTGTTCTTCTGTTTGAATCTATAATCCATTGTTTATTTTATGGTTATGTTCCTCAAATTCTTGTTATTTTGGTCTCAGAGGGTATATTTTTTATTGCAAATATTAGGTATCCCAGCCCATCAGGCAACGTGAATGAGGGGAAAGCCAGATTCAATCTTGACAACTCAGCGACAGGAAGGTGGGCTGGGCAGAAATCCCTAGGCACTGAAAATGACAGTTAAACACCTCACATTCCGCAGAACAAGTCTCTTGCTTAGATCTTCCTGCTTTGTCCCTCCGGGACTACATATTAGCAGTATTACTAGGAGACATTCCTGAGATTGTCACCCCCTAAGCCTGGTTGTGTGGAAAGTGAAGGCTGGAGGGGATCAGTCGGTTCCCACGTGTTTTTCTCAGTTCCCCACAGGCTTCTGTGACCGGTGCCATTATTTACTCCCGAGGACATCTGAACCAGGACCATGCACCCTCTCCCACTCCCTCCCCCTCGTGTGGGGGTGGTGCTGATGCCCCAGCCACTGGGAGGAGCAAGAATCAAATTAACAAAACTCTTCCTGTTTATTCTCCCACAGGCATGTTGGACTGCCATGTGGTCCAGGCCAAAAGTACCCCCTTCCACATAGACCAGTTAAACAGGCACCCTACCTCATCCCCACAATTCCTCTCCACAACCATCACCCAAGGGGTTCTTACCGCCACCCCCCCCCCTACTTGCTATGTTCCTCTGGGGTGATTTTGGGGAAAGGAACTAGAGATAGGAGTCAACTAATTCAGCATCCTAGTCCCATAAATTTCCGAGGTCAATATTGTTCCATTTAAGCAAACAGCTCTACTTGCTAGACCTACTAGCCTTTCAACCCCAGTTATGAATTCCTGTGAGAACGAACCGGATCGGCAGACCTTGGGTTTCCCAGAATAGTCTTCACAGGGTTGTATGATTCGAGCATCTGGGTCTTGTGGCTGTGGGTGAGCCATGCCACCTGCTCCCTCGAGCACCAAACTGCCCTAGCCAGTTTGGCTGAGTGAATAGAGCGTCGGCCTGTGAACTAAAGGGTCCCAGGTTCGATTCCAAGGCCAAGGGCACATGCCCGGGTTTCAAGCTCAATCCCGCCCCACCCCACCCCCCAGTAGGGGGCGTGCAGGAGGCAGCCAATCAATGATTCTCTCATCATTGATGTTTCTATCTCTCTATCTCTCTCCCTTCCTCTCTGAAATCAATATATATATATATATATATATTTAAATAAGACAGTTTCTGTAATGATTCAACTGGTAGCATGAAGTGATATTGCAAAGAGGAGGGATTCACCTGTTACCTAAAAGATGTATCCAGTCCCACAGTTTATTTCATTAGAGTTGGTTTCCAGCTATGTGTAGAAGATAGAATATTAGTCATTCCAAAAAACATGCATTTGGGCAACAATGACAACAGAATTTTTAAAAATTAATACTATAAAGAATGCAAATTAAATTTGAAGTAACAAAAATCTTTTAAAAGTTTTTCAGGTTTTTTTTAAGTCTTTTTAATAATGAAAATCATTTCATTTTACAGGTAAAATGAAAGGCCTGGCATTTATTCAAGATCCTGATGGCTATTGGATTGAAATTTTGAATCCTAACAAGATGATAACTATTATTTAGGTCTGTGAGAATACTGCTTTGAGATGTCTATAAAGATACTGTGGGAGTTAAAAAAGAGAGACAGGGAAACTGGATATATTCAGATAACAGAAGCATCGAGGACTGATGGTTCATTGTCTCAATTCAAATTATTCTTAAGTGCATTTCCCTTCCTGTGTCAGCTGTGCTTTTCACCGACCTGATCAGTCCCTCTAGTTTTAAAGTAATGCTTTGCCTTGTGTCCTTGAATGTGGTTGTGTAACATTAGTTTTTTAGGTAATAATTAGAACAGTTCCCTTCAGAGGCCGCATTTGCCTTCTCCCTCCTAACCTGACTTCTCTCCACATCTGCCTTTCAAACATCATTTTTAAAAAAACACGTTTAACATGTTTCCTTCTGGGGTTTCAGTCCTCAGAAATAACGTTTCACAGTGGAAAGTGAAGAGCCCTGAACAAAAACAAAACTTGATGTGCGCTTCAAACAGTAGAAAGCGTTTATTTTACAAGAGAGAAGGCACTCTTGGGAGGAACTCGGAATCATGCCGAGGAGGATGCTGACAGAAAGACTAATTTCTTCTTATGTATAAAGTGCTTTCCAAGTTCAAGGACTAACCTCTTTATTTCGGGGATGGGGAGAAGGGTGGGAATATTTTTCCTGGGTTTGCAAACACCAGATTAGGCTGTCAACATGCTTTATCTTGCTGAATCCTCCCAGCTATCCTGTGAGAAAGAACACAGGCTAGACACGTAAAATAACTCTCATTAATGGCAGGCAATACAAATAGGCATGAGTACTCAAAATTCCACCATTATTTTTAGCATTCAGATGTACCTCATAAATGAGTACCTCACAGGACGTCCCCCGCTAGCCTCCTGTTGTAAAACCTTCAGTGACTTAGCCTTATCCTCTCAGCTCTCGGCCTGAGAACCGTGGTGAGGGAGGGGGCAGTGGAGGAAGGAAGTCAGTAGCCCTCACCTGCTCTGGGGGTGCCCGGTTGTTCTTGTGTGAGTGGTGCTTGTGTTACCTGTGAAGAGCCCTACACTAAGGTCTTTCAGATGCCGGTCGTCATTTAGGGTAAATTATGACCAGTGATAACTTAGGTATCAGAAATCAGCTCAGTGGTCTTCTCTGCCATAATTGACATTTGATGGATTTAAAAAAAAAAAAACTGATTTAAAAAAAATCTCTTAAGGCCCAGGAAATAAGAGCATCCAATTTGTTTAACTACATTTAGGTTTTCTATAGACTGTGGTGGAAGATCTTTGGGTAGGCCATGCCAACTGTGCTTACACTGCTAGAAGCACTTGACATTTCCTTTCTGGATGGAATGGATTTATGTGAGCAACTCAAACAAATGGCCATACTTATAGACTGAAATAAAATAAGCATTTAAATAAGACTGTGTTTAATTTGTAAACTCTCCAGCATGTTCTTTCTTAAAAGAAGAAAAGGGCTGCCCTCAGGATGTGAAGGGCCTTGCAGGCTCATTCTGAACTGGGAATAGATGTAATTCTTTATATCCTGCAAACAGATAGTTTCTAAGTATAAGGAGGTGTGGGAAAGGTGGGAAGAGGGAAGTAAGGAAGGAATAAAGGGTGGAAGAAGAAAAAAGTATAAAGAAGAATGGCCACATGTCAAAAGGTGAGTTGTGGGAACCAGCAAAGACTAGTTTCACATGTTGGGTATAACATCATCAAATGGGCGCGTTATTAGATTCATAAATTCAGTCATTTAAACCTTATTTTCACAGAAGAAGCCTTCTGTACTTGCTAAGTAAAACTTGTCAAAACATAGCCCTTGCTTATTCCTTAAACTCATCCTTATATGCATTGAAAAAATAACTATTGTATCACCAGCTTTGCTAGCAATTAGGACAATTCACTTCCAAATTAACCTACCTGAGAAGTGGTGATATGAAAGGGTGAGGTTGACCTCAAGAAGTTTTCCTTATGGCGGTGTAGTACTCCATTGTGTCTAAGAACTATATGCTTTAACTCATGTGGAATATAAAACAGAAACTTATGTACACAAACAGCAGTGTGGTGGTTGCCAGAGGGAGGGGTAGGGGAAGGAAGGGGTCCTAATATGAGGTGACAGGAGAAGATTTGACTTTGGGTGGTGGCACATGGTCCTATATACAGATTTTGTAAATTAGTAATCCACACATATAACCTATATGTTCATGTAGACTAATGTCACCCCAATAAAATTTAAAATAATGGGAAATAAAAATAAATAAATAAATAAATACATACATAAATAAGACATTTTCCACAGGTGTTTTGAAGTAGGAGCTGATGGCTGAGAGGGTCCCTTATGGCTTCCCTCCATAGCATTCTGACTAGAATTTCACACAGTGTACATAACTGTTTATCAGTAGCACAGCTGCTTGTGAAGAGGGTCATATCAGTAAGGATGCTTGTTGCTGGCAATGAGACCCAACTTTACCAAATGTAACAAGCACTTCAGCGGTTCTAGACTGGGTTGATGGAGGGTTCAGACATACCAAGAACCTCCGTTTCTTTCCATCTTTCCCAGCCTTTCAGTGGTTTCTTTTGGGGCTAATAATATTTGCGACCAAAGATGCCTACCATGGCCCTAGCCGGTTTGGCTCAGTGAATAGCGTGTTGGCCTGCGGACTGAAAGGTCCCGGGCTCGATTCCAGTCAAGGGCATGTACCTTGGTTGCAGGCTCGATCCCTGGCCCTGGTCGGAGGTCATGTGGTAGGCAACCAATCGATGTGTCATTGATGCTTCTCCCTCTCTGTCTCTCCCCGTCACTCCACTCACTCTAACAATCAATGGAAAAATATCCTGGGTGAGGATTAAAAATACCTACCATGATTCCAGGTGTCATGTATAAACCAACAGTGTTCAGTGAAAATAACCTTTTTTCCCTTCGCAGAATTCCTCAGACCTCTTCCTACCTGGGTCACTTGCCTGGCTCTAATCACTGGCAGGGAATGAACCACTGGCTGAAATGGATTGTATTTACCCAAGTTGCCTGCATATGAGGGCAGACACTGGGTTAAAATTGAGATGGCCAGAATGGAGGAGCGAATAATGGCTTCTGAGTAGGCATAAAAAGAAACTGCAATGATGAAATTAAATATTGAGGTCCAGTTGGTACAAGGTGCAGTAAAAAATAAACATTTCTTGCCCTCAGAAAGATTTTAGTCCAAGATTGTGGTTCTCAGACTTAGCAGACACTTTCTGTTATAATATAATCAGAACATTTCTAACATCCATCACACCCACTATCCTAAAATGAAATTTATATGTAACTTTCCTATATACACAATTTTAAAAAGGGTAAATCCAATGCCTTTATTGTAATATAAAGGATAAATGGAATCAATTTCTAATAAAATATTTCAATAAGTAAATCAAATACTGCTATACTAGAAAACAGTGAGTTAGTCAGGTGCTTACTCTTAAGTATGGAAGAAGTAAAACTTCAATAGAGTACTGTAACACTGATATTTTAAAATAAAGACAATTCATGATTCATGAAGAGCTATAATGTTACAACTGTAAATGCATACTGATAATAGCTGTGTTTTACTGGTTAAAGACGATGAATAATATTACTGTTGGAAACATCATTTTCCAAAATGGTGTTCAATTCTTTCTGAAATTTTGAATAAAAGAATAATACTCCTCTTTATAGGATAGTTTTGTCCCTAGTAAATATTAAGACTTTATATGTTCAAATAAGTAAAATAGAAGTTACAGGCTCAGATAATAAAAATCAGGCTTTATAATTTCTTAAAATTGAAATATAATTAACATACATTATCCTGTAAGTTTAAGGCATGCAATGTGTTGATTTGATACACTTATAGATTGCAAAATGATGACCACCATAACATTAGCTAACACCTCTATCACATCACATAATTGTGATTTCTGTGATGGAACAGTGAGGAGCTAGTCTCTTTACAAGTTTGAAGTTCATAACAGTGTTGTTGACGATTCACTATGCTGTGCATTAGATCTCTAGGACTTACTTGTCTGCTAGTTGCAAATTTTTATTTTACAATTTTTTAAAAAATATGTAGAATAGTTTCAGATTTATAGAAATGTTGCAGAAATAGTACAGAGGTGATCCCATATACCCCATACCCAGTTTTCCTTATTTTTAAAAGATTAGTATGGTACATTTGTCACCACTAATGAACCTGTACTGATACGTTATTATTAACTGTCTATACCTTATTCAGATTTTTGTTTTTACCTACTTTTTCTGTTACAGGACCATACATTATATTAGTCTTCATGTCTGCTTAGGCCCCTTTAAAATGTGATTGTTTTTCAGACTTTCCTTGTTTTTGGTACCTGACAGTTTTGAGCCCTAGTCAGATACTTTGTAGAGTGTTTCTCAGTTGGAATTTTCTGAAAATTTTCTCATGATGAAACAGGCTATGGGTTTTCAGGAGGAAGACAAGAGGTAAAGGGCCCTTCTCATCCCCTCAAAGGCACACGCTGTCAGCATGATGTGTCACTGGCGTTCACCCTGATCACCTGGCTGCAGTGCTGTTGTCAGGCTTGTGTCCATGGTAACGTTATTCTCCACCACCCACCCCACTTCCACACTGTGCTCTTTGCAAGGAAATGGTATGTGAAGCCCACACTGAAGGTGTGGGGAGTTCTCCTACAGGGGAAAAATGGCTTTATACCTAAATGAATACTCACTGAGACTTCACAAAGTTTTTCGGATCATTACAGGAAATTTCACATCTCTGCTCCTCGTCCACTAAATACCAGTATTGAAACCTAACCAGAAATGCCCCACAAGTTTCTGAAACAACCTCTAGGGGTCAGTACTGCCCTGTTGAGAATCACTGGTCTGGTCTAAGACTCCCAATTCCAGTTTCTATAGAGTGTGAACTTAAAGTATTTACAAAGGAATCTGAGTTCAGAATCCACCGTTTTATGCTTTCCTTCTTACATATTTTTGTTTGCCACTAGTTCAGCAGCCATTTATTTTAGCTATTTGCAGTCCTCTAGAATGTTCAATTTGCCTTTTACATAAACTCATTTTATTTCATTAAATTATGTACTTACGAGGATAACTGGCTTGAACATGTTGGTAATGGAAACAACTGACTTGATAAGCACACAGCTCATTAGGGAAGTAGGAGTGCACAGATGCCCTGGAGAGTGGACAGCTAGGTACATTAGCCTGCCGGGACATCAGTTCTTTATCGAGGAAATGATGAGCCAGGTTCATCCAATCATTAGTGAAGTGGAAGTTGGTTAACAGAATTTTTACTGAAAATGCATCAATTTGAGTCCTATCAATATTAGCAAAGATTACAGGATATTTTTAATGCATCAATTTGAGTCATTGATGTTAGAATGATTATAGACGATTTTTTAAATGTCAGTATCTATGACTGCTGTAGTTGTAATGAAATAGGCACTTTTATAAACATTATCCTAACTATTGATACACTGATTTTGCAATATGTTTCAAGAGTCATTATAGACTTTAAAATATTCATCCTTTTATCTGGTACTATTGTTATTTTCTGAGAATTCTGTTTCCTAGGAAATAATCAGATTTTTGTTTTAATATTATATACAATTTGTTGCATCCATCATTATTCATAACTAGAGGCCTGGTGCATGAAATTTGTGCATGGGGGGTGGAGGGGTCCCTCAGCCCAGCCTCCAATCTGGGACCCCTAGGGGGATGTCCTTCTGCTGGTTTAGGCTAACTGCCTCTGCCTGCCAGCCTGATCACCCCTACCTTGCCCCCCCCCCGCTGGCCTGATCGTCCTCAACTTGCTCCCCTGCTGGCCTGATCACCCCTAACTGCCTCTGCCTCAGCCCTTGCCTAAGCCGCAGTCTAGCCTCCCTCTGTGGGAAGCAACCTGGCGGATCAGGGGAAGGCACCGCCCCAATTACCCTGCTGCTGCTGCCACTGCCAATCTGAGCCTGGGCCCTTCGCAGCCACTATGGCTTTCTCCGGAAGGACATCCTGAAGGTTGTCAAGAAGACATCCGCCCTAATTTAGCATGTTACCCTTTTATTAGTATAGATCGAAAAATTTAGAAACAATTTAAATGTATAAAAATGGGAAAATAAATGAACTATTCTAACACCACAGATGGTAGAATATTATTTATTTTTACACCAGTAAATTGTATTCTCAAAGAATATTTAAAGATGTGGAGGCCTGGCCAGTGTGGCTCAGTTGGTTGGAGTATCGTCCCATATACCAAAAGGTCTCTCTCGGGTTCAATTTCAGGTCAGGTCACATACCTGGGATGTGGGGTTCAGTCCCCAGTTGGGGCACATATGAGAGGAAACCTGTCGATGTTTCACTCTTCTCCTCGCCCCTTCCTTCCTCTCTCTCAAATCAATAAAAACATATACTTGGGTGGGGATTTAA